ATGCCTTCATTTAACTAGAAATATTATTCACTAGAGGACTGATGCACGAAATTTGTGCAAAGGGCTCATCCCTCGCAGCCACAGCTTCGTCCGGAAGGTTATCTGGAAGGACATCTGGAAGGTCGTTCGGCTGTCTGGTCTAATTAGCATATTATGCTTTTATTATTATAGATTGGAGGGAAGTGGTCATCAGGTCCCCTGAGGCAACACCTAGACGGTGGACAATCTTGCTGGTGGACATCAGGCCTGAATGGCCCATTGAGAGGAGTTTCTCAGAGTCGGCTGCTCAGAGCACTTGGGACAGGTGAATGCTTCAAGAGAGTTCTCTGGTCCTGCCAGCATGGCTCAGTGGTTGAACATCAACCTATGAACCAGGAGGTCATGGTTCGATTCCCAGTCAGGGCACATGCCCGGGTTTCGGGCTCAGGTTGCAGGCTCAATCCCGTTGGGGGCGTGCAGGAGGCAGCCGATCAATGATTCTCTCTAATCATTGGTGTTTCTATCTCTCTCTCTCTCCCTCTCCCTTCCTCTCTGAAATCAATCAAATATATATTTTTTTAAAAGGGAGTTCTCTGCATACTAATACACTCCTGTAGGTGCTAAATAATTGATGTAAAATGATAAATTCTCTCCCTGCTGCTCAAAGTCAACTTTTATGTTGAAAAGAAGGATCTGTTTTATTTCTCAAGGCCTACTGGGATAACAATAGCTGAAGCTGAGTGTGAGCACCTTAGAATCGTCACCTCATGGAATACTCAGGCGATCCTATATGAGTTGTTAATGTCCTGTCCCATTTCCCCCTTTTTTACAGAGGAGGACATGGAGATTCAGAGAGGTTCACTGACTCAGCCAGGGTCACACAGCCAGCCAGTGGTGGAGGCAGCCTGGCTGTGGCCGAGCGGTTAAGAGCGTGATTGCTAAGCTACTTCTCACCCCCTTTAATTCAGAACATTCTGACTCACAGTAAACAGCCTTTCCTGAGAACACAGTCGTATAAGATCATGGAGATTCAGGGAGGAATAAAAGTAGACAGAAACAGCCTGGGTCTAAGCAGTAACAGAGGGGCCACCTTAGCTTCCACAGGCTGTGCCCGTGGTTAAAAGATGCTCCTTTATTTTGGCAATTTCTGTGGTATTTCTCCAGTGAATACACACATCGGTGATAATAATGTTTCTCCAAACATTAGCCGGGTCTGTTTATCCTAGACTGAACATCAGATGGCTTCATTCTAACCCCAAACTAGAATCTCTCCATGTCTTAACCTTGACTTGGAACCCAAGTTAGCCGACAGCAAGTGGCTTTGATTTTGACACTGAACTGGTTCCAAAGAGGCCAGAAAACTGTAGAAAGAAAGTCCCAGGCTCTGATATCTGAGGCACTAGGGAAAATTGTCCATGTGCCAGATGCCTTTTTAATCCAGAAACAAAGAACCTTAATATCATTTCAAAGTTCACAGCTAACTTCTTTACAAAGGTACTCAACAGGAAATAACTCTTTCCTCTAGCGTTCAAGGACCCACCAAGGAAGGTTTTTATCACTCAGATGAGAGCAGAAAACTGTTTATAGACATATTCCCTTTCTCAAGTGGATTTATGTCTATATAGAGCATCATGGAAGGGCCCATTATGCCAGCGTTTTATCATCTTAAAAAACTTAGAAGTTGTTTTTTTTTAAATCTTCACCCGAGGATATGTTGTTGTGTGTTTTTTTGTTTGTTTTTAATCCTCACCCAAGGATATTTTTCTATTGATTTTTAGAGAGAGTGGAAGAGAGAGAAATATCTATGTGAGAAACTAGGTTTTCTTACTCTACTTATCTGGGCAGCAGCAAAGAGGGCAAGGCAGCTCAGGGGCTGGAATGAAGGTGGGGAGCTTGGGAGGGGGACAGCGAGATCATCCATCTTGTCACATCTTATCACTGCTGGCTCAGAGCAAGTGTGCAGCGAATACTGGCTGGCTGAATGAGGTGTTCTCTAAGCAGCCAGTCCGCAAGGAGCCCATGGCCATGGTGGGTTGAACTACTGAGACAGCAGGTCATATTGTATGTGAACTGAGCAACCCTCCCACCAGCCACTCAGGACTGACTCTTGCCACTTCCAGGCAGAGCCTGGGGGCCAAGGTCCTCCGGCCCAGCTTGTCTTTCTTCCTTGTCCCTGCCCCAGTGGCTCCCAAGCTCCTCCAAGCCTTTTAAGCTGCTCATCCTCCGAGAACCTATGTTTTGAAGGGTCTGTCTCTGATAGAAAACATAGTTGTTAATTAATAACGAATCAGCGCCCCATTTTACAACTCATCAAAGACCTAGATACCTGATGGTCAGAGCTGTGGCAGACACCAATGCCTGAGCCTGAACCTCAGCCAGGAGTGAAAAGGGAAGGGAGAATCTGAGGCAAAGCCAGCCGGCACTGGAGTACAGAAGTGAAGGGCAGTGTGCCCCATGAGACACGTTGGCCATACAGTGTGATCTCTGGGAGCCTTTGGGGTCCCATGCACTTTCCACCTTGTTAAAACCCTGCTGCCCCTTTCCTGTGCAAGTGTGCTATTTAAAGAACTTTCAACATCCAACTAGGGTAAGTGTGAAAAATTACTATCTCATTTTCAAGATACAGAACCTTACTTTACATAAAGCCATATCCCTCAGCCTTCTCCTCTTGCAAAAGAATTAATAAGTGATGTAAGATCATTTAATAACGTCTAGCTCAAAGGTCACCTCCTCCATGCGGGCCTCCCTGATATTTCTTTGATGATCCCCCACTCATTTGAACATGTGATTTTATTTTTCCATTCCAAAAGTAAGGTGAGCAGAAGTAGAAAGATTGAGAGGTGGCTGACCCAGGTTCCCAGATACCCAGGTCCTTAGTGAAGGGTGTTCTCAGAAAAAGCCCCCTCTTTAGTGCTCAAAATCTTTGCCCAGACCCAGTGCAGACTTCCCCAGAGCGGGGCCTCAAGGACTGCTGTCAACCAAGGAAAGCAATGCCAGTTCTTTGGCTTCTCTGGGCAGTTCCTCGAGGTCCAGAAGCAGAGCTCTGCCCACTGAGGAAGTGGGAAAAGGTGAGCCCAAGGTGACCAGAAAGAAAATTCCTTCCGAGGCCCAGGCTGCCCTGCCCCAACAACCCCCAAAGATGCCAAGGGGAGTTCTGAATAAGACAGCCCAGAGTCTCAGAGATGTACCTCCTGCTCAGTCAGTCAAAATGCCTCTCAGCACCATGACCCCATAACCTTCTTTGGATGAGGAGGGTGTCCTAGGCCCCTTCATGAAGAAAGGACCTCTAGCCTGGCCTCTGGCTTCTGCCTCTCCCACCTGTGTCCCAGCCCCTCTTCAAAGCCTCACCTGCCAGGGTGCTCAGCAATGTTTTTTTTTTTTTTGGGGGGGGGGGCAATGATTTGATGAAGTAGTAAAGGAAGGAATCTATGTCGTTTTAGGGTGGTGCTGGTGGTAACCTCAGAGAGTCAGAGCTGACTCTTTACTGGGGAGGCACTGGGCTCATGGAGAGGGGAAAGGACCCCTTCCTGGGAGATGGGGTGTCTGGTCTAGGGCTGTTGAGACCAGTAGTGACTCCGGTGTCCCCGGTGGAGCCAGCAGGTGGGCAGAGCCAGCAGTGGGCGGTTAGATTTGGCCTCCTCTGCTGAGTCTCCGGGCTGTTTTGACCACTGGTGCAGGTCTCCTGGGCTGCCCCTGCCTGGGCCAGTTCCATAGGCAAACACTTATCTCCCTCTGCCTCTGGCTGGTGGGGTCACCTCGTCTCTCCTGTGGGGAGCCCCTCCAACGGTGGGTTTTCAAGACAATTTGGACTCCAGTAAGGAGTCAAGGGAAGTGGTTATTGTCAGCTTTCAAGGACCGGAAAGTTTAAGACACCCATAGAGACACTGGTCTCTTCTAAGGCCACGCGATGCCAGGGCAGCTGGAGATGTGGTGGGAGAGAAGAGGAAAGGGAAAACCTGGGCAGAAAGTGGAGAGGGAGAAGGGAAGGGGGACAAGGGGGACAGGGAGACTGGCACATTCCCACCAGTGGTCTTACGACATTAACAGAAGCACTTTCCAAAAGCCAAACCTGTGTTGGTCATCAGAACAGGGCAGAACTGTCCGAAGGACCGGAGCCACAGCCCGGGTCTGTTCAGCCAGTGACTGTGAGCCTCCCAGACTTTACATCAACACAGAGAAGAGGAGCCTACCCCACCACATCCAAGAAAGCCGTGTCCCCAGACATGGAGTCGCACCAGGCTTTGGCTTGATGCCAGACAGGTGCACAGTCCAGAAGGTTCAGAGGGGCGGAGCCTTTTGTTCTCTTGAGGTGGGACCCTGAGCGGCAGGGGCCAATGTAGTAGGGTGGCCTTGCAGGGAGCTGTCACCTCATGGCTCCCAAAGGCATCCCTCTGCACACCTTCAGAGCCAAGTTCCACAGGTGTGCTTCCCGACCCTGAGAATGGAGCAGGCGCTCGCAGCAATCACGGTTTGTTTGTCACTTCACAGTTTACATGCAGGAGGTTTATAATTAGGGCTGGCGACATGGTTTGCGGCCTGCACGGTTGCACAGGGCCCTGCTCTTAGAAGAGCCAATCACTTGATTTAAGGCTCTGATGTTGCCATTCTTAATTTTAAAATTCTTAATTCTTGAAATTCAGAATAACTTTTGAACAAGGGGCCCCACATATTCCCTTTGCTCGGGGCGCTGCAAATTATGTAGCCAGTCCTGCTTATTGTCTCACTTGCCCCCACAGCCATCACAGGAGAGGAGCCGGAGGGAAACACTACCCCAGTTCAAAGACGGTGAAACTGAGCGCTGGCAGGAAGCGGGGTGCATGAAGCCAAGACGAGACTGGACCCGGGGAGGGAAGTCTGGGCTGTTCTCTCTTGGAGCTGCCTCTCAATGAGCAGGGGTGGGATGGTCTCCTCTCCCTCACACACCTGCCTGGGGTCTTTCCAATCCTGTCCTGGCCGCAACCTCCATTCCATCTCTCATTCCATCTCATTCCATTTTAAAAGTACGGAAACTATTTACTCACCTGCCAGGGAGGAGCTCCTGGGGCCTCCCTGACGGCCCTTCCTGTCCTGTCCTCTGTCCTGTCCACTGGTCTGTCCCCAGCAAGATCCACACGCCCTCCGCTCTGTCGCGGAGAGCCCACAACAAACACTTTGTCCTCCCCTGCAAAGGCTCCCTGGGAAGCATTCCTGACCTTCAGACCTGCCTCGGCCCAGAGCTGGCCCCATGCCCGTGACAATCACTTCCTGGCTGGGTGTTTACCTTCCTGGGCCCCATGGGCCCAGCTAGGGCGGTGGCCACATACCTGACCCAGAGGCTGTGCGGGAGGGAAGGCATCACCCTTGCTGGAGGCTGGCGACAGCTGGTACTGTTCCCTGGTGCAAGGTAACTCTGATGGTCCCTCAGCACACCTGACTGCCCCGCCCCTTGGCCTTGGCCAGGCAGACACACAGCTCTTGAATCCGAGGCTTGGGAAAGGGCTTGGGGTCCTCTAGGGTTCCTTTCACTTCCTGCACGTGGCCATCATGCCTCAGCTCGATCACTTCCAGGAATGGGACACTTGCTGCTTTGGGAGGGAACTTGCCCCATTATTATTATTATTATTATTTTCTAATATCTACCTTCTATTCAGTGACAGGTACTGGGCTTAGTATTTTATATGATCACTTCATGTAATCCTTTCGTAATCTCTATGGGAAGAGAATTTGCCCATTTTAAAGATGCAGAAACAGAGGCTCAGAAGTTGATGATCTTCCAAAGCTGCACAGCTAGGAAGTTGGGGGTTCAAAATTCAAACTCAGACCAATTGGTACCAAAACCCTAGGCTCTTAACCACTACCGTCATTTGCCGAGTTTAATGGCCAGAATGTCCATTTTTTATGTCAAACTCAAATCAGCCACTGTATTAGCCACTGATTGCTGGCAACAAGTTAACACCAACACAGTGGCTTCAACCAACACACATTTGTTTCTCACAGTTCCTGTGACCAGGAATCTGGCACAGCTAACTGGGTTCTCTGCTCAGGGTCCCTCACAGGCCAAAGTCAAGGTGCTGGGAGGGCTGGGGCCGAGTCTCAGAGCTCCACTGGGGAAGGATCTCCTTCCATACAAGGTTCTTGGCAACATTCAGTTCCTTGTATGCCATAGGACTTAGCTCCTCACTGACTGTTGGCCTAAGGCTGCCACAGAGGCCTCTCCACTATGCAGCCTGTCACCAAGGTGAGCAACAGAGAGAGAGTCCAGGAAGACAGAAACCACTGTCTTTTGTAATCTTCTCACAGAAGTTACATCCCATCACTTTTGCTGTCTTCTACTCATTAGGAGGAAATCATCAGGTACAGCCAACACTCAGAAGTAGAGGATTACACACAGATGTGAACACCAGGAGGTAGGATTGCTGAGGGCCATCTTTGAAAGCTGTCCATCACAGCCACCTGATTGCCATAAAACAATGGTTTCGGTTTTGCCTCTGAAAGCCAGATAGAGGTAGTCTTTTATCCACCCATCCATCCATTAATTCATCCATTCATTGATCCATCCGTCCATCCATCCATCCATCTATCCATCCATCCATCCATCCATCCATCCATCCAATAAACATTTGAGCAGGACACTATCAGCCAGACCCCACATTAGGCTCCGAAGATACCATTCACTCTACTCTCCCTACCACCAAAGACTTCCAGTTGAGCCTTCACATATGAAGGTTTGAGGTGGTGTCCACTGAATGCTCTGTTCTTCAGGGGCATTAGTTCTCTTTCTTCCAACCAGTCTTCATATGTCACACTCCTGAAATTCCTTTTCCTCCTGCTCACTCCCCTGTCTTTGTCTTATTTTTTAAAACAGCGGTCGCCAACCTTTCGGACTTCACGGACCACCGGTTGGCGACTGCTGCAAAAACCTATTTTAAGCACCTCCTAAGTGCAAGGTGTGTGCATGTTTGTAGGGTTAGATCTGATTTTTTGGGTTGATTTTCTCCCTTTCTCATTAGTAATTTTCCTGTCTCCCTTTAGCTCCCGAGGGAAGCAGGGCCACAGCGTTTTGGAGACACCCATCTTGCCATGTGCAAACAGGACCAGCTCAGAGTTGTGCCTGCATTTCCCTTACTCCAGCCTCACCCTCCTGTGGATCCCGTTTGCTGACTCTGCACAGGTCCTGGGCTGGGTGAGTGAACTCTGAGAAGAAGGTGACAAGGTCTGTGGAATTTGGCTCTTAAGATGTGCAGAGGGATGTCTTAGGGAACTGGAATTGTAAATCTTTATATGGGAGACCATTCATTTCATGCGTTTATTGAGCACCTAGTAGGTGTAGATATTGTGCTAGGCCCTGAGGGTACCACTGGGAGCACCTTGAAAGTGAATCCCATTTCTTTTTTTCTCCTCCACTCCATCTCTGCTTCAGAACAGGCCCCTCAACTCTACCTGGACCAGTGGTCGGCAAACTCATTAGTCAACAGAGCCAAATATCAACAGTACAACGATTGAAATTTCTTTTGAGAGCCAAATTTTTAAAACTTAAACTATATAGGTAGGTACATGGTTATTAAATTAATTAGGGTACTCCTAAGGCTTAGGAAGAGCCACACTCAAGGGGCCAAAGAGCCGCATGTGGCTCGTGAGCCACAGTTTGCCGAGCCGCAGTTTGCCGACCACGGACCTGGACCATTGCAATGTCCTTTAATGGTCTCCTGGGTTCATTCTCTCCCAATTGCTTCCAGTCCTTCCCACCCCATCCCACTCAATATGCCATGTGAACATGCTGACACAGTCCTGAACCTGTCACTTTCTTCTCAAAAACATCTTATGTAACCTCTGTTAACAGTTTCCTGAGTATTCTAGAAATGTTCTCTCTACATACTCTCTCTCACCCCCTGTACCCCCCTCTTACACACCTACATCCTTTTGTTTTATTTAGGCAGAACCACAGCATGTATGTACTATTCTGTATCTATTGTCTTGGTACTTTTCCAATTCAGCACACCTTAAAGTCCTTCCCTCTCTAATAATGGTCGATTGTTCTGCTATAGGAATATTCTGGGGTGATACTGAGTGCCGTAGACTGAGTGTTAGTGTTCCCTCAGAATTTATATGTTGAGACCTAACTCCCAAGGTGATGTGTTAGGAAGTGGGGCCTGTGGGAGGTGATTAGGGCATGAAGGCGGACTCCTCATGAATAGGTTAGTGCCTTATAAGGGAGACCCCAGAGAGCTCCCTTGCCCTTCCACTAGAGGGAAGACGGCCACCCATGAACAAGGAAGCAGGCTCTCACCAGATACTGAATCTGCCAGTGCCTTGATCTTGGACTTCTCAGCCTCCAGAACTGTGAGAAATCAATTTCTGTTGTTTATAAGCCCCCCAGTCTGAGGTATTTTGTTACAACAGCCTGAATGGACAAGACAGGAGAAATCATTTCAAGACCTGAGATAACCCTTGACCAGAAGCTTTTGTGATGTTTTCTGGGTGATAATTTCTGATAGATCATTAATGGACTTAATAATCATAAACCAGCTATTTTAAGGTGATTATTACAATTGCACATTGGCGGGAATTGAGTGGTCAAGTATAATAAGCTTAATTCATTAAAAGAGATTTAAAAAAAGATTTTCTACTAACTTCCATGTAAAGTTTGCTGTTGGGAGTGGGAAGAGGAGAGAAATGTAAATGTTTAAAATGTAAATGTTTTAGAAATTGCATTTTTATTTTTAAAAATACATTTGAAATACATAAAGACAAGGGACCAGGTCTGGTCAAGAAAAAGAACTGAGCAGAAGCTAGGATAGTTGCCATACATCTATTGACAACCTTTGGGCCAGGCTGTATTCTAAGCACTTTACATGAATTAACTTGTTTAATCATCACTACAGTCTTATAATGAAGAAGCCAGACATACAGAGATTAAACAGCTTGCCCAGGGTCACATGAAATTTCCTGAACATACAGAAATGCTGAATGTAGACATATATGTGTGTGTGTATGTATATATATATAT